GGAGATATTGATCACAAAATCCCCACAAATAAGCCTTGCACAAAAACTCTGGAGGAACAAAATACGAGATGGTGGCAGGCTACATTGCAAGCACAGCACATCTCAGTGGCCCACCAAACAAAAGCAAATGAACATCTGTTCACTTGCTGACAGGATAGAACTGAAACATACCTGCAGTCTTAAAAAACTGGTATAGCCAGAAAATCCCAAGAGAGAGCTATACAATCTATTAATTTTTACAAAGCCTTCAAGGTAGAGGCACTGCTTTCACATCAGCAATAAAGTATTTTCAGAAACTGTAATTTTGGTTCTGCATATGCATCTGCTTTCCATGAAGCCACTGTGCATTTAAAGCACTCAAGTGAGTAACCCTGCCATTTCAGTTAGAGCTTAGCAGCCTGGAGATGATGCATTCTGGAATTTTCCATTTTATATTCATCTCCTGCACATACTTAATCACCAAACAACATAATACTTAGGAATGAGCAAATAAAGAGAGCACTGAAGTTATTCTGAAAGGTTTAACCTATAAGATCCTATAGGTATCAACTTTGCCCCACATTCAAATCTCCATTTCACTAATAGAGACTTTACCTGATGATACAGACAAGTGGACACAAAAGGCACAAAACTTGGCAAAGATAGTTTAAGACTCTTTTACCATGGACTGTATTTAAAAGTTGAAAAAGATGTGTAAATAATAAAAATGTATGTGCATATGCAAGATTCTCGCTCAGTCATTACACTTTATATGATCATGGGGAGAGAAGATACTTCAGCAGATCTATTCTTTACTGTGTATACGGTCAGGTTCAGTACAAAACAGGAAATCTTTGTTATTTTGTTCCTTTTGCTGTGATGGTGATTAAGAAAAAACAGGCAGACACAAGGAATTAAGAAAAAAAAAAAGATAAGAAGTAAAAGGAAAACATCTCTAGGAGTTAATAACACCTGAACTTTCACAACAAACTAGGTGCATTATTGGTTCTCGGGGGAATTCATTCACACATGTCTTCAAAGCCACAGACATTTTCAGGGCCCAGGCACATGTACTCCCTCCTCTCCACAAACACTGCATGTCTTTTCTTATCATGGTGCTGAGAACCTTTTCTGCTTTGTGCCTAACATAGACAAGTACACCCAATATTTCTTTTTTAAGTACAGGATTCATCATTCATAATTCATAGAAAGACTTAAAGGTTTCCTGAAGGCTTAAGGTACCTCCTTTCCCCAGAAAGATACATAGATATTTGATTTCAGTAGAGTAACAAGTGTTGGAATTGTGTTTCTGACCATACGGTTCTTCAATCTAGGTGTCACTTAATCACCTACAAAAGAGTTTTTAAATCTTTGGATATTCATGTAGTTCACCAGTGCCTGATAATCAAAATTGTAGTGCTTTTATAACATCAGTTAAGAAAATAGGCCATTCATATACGTTATAATTCGACTTTTGACATAGGGAGTCTCATATGTGTTCATCATTTTCCTCTTAATCATTCAAAAGAGCTGAAGGTAAAACTGAATCCAATTCATTCCCTGTATTTAAATAAGTGCCAAAATCATCCCATTTGAGATGATTTGCATTCTACAGAAATTTATAAAATTACATTACTCTAATAATAAATGATAAAGGAAACTTATATAGACTAAATTGGCCCACAAAGCAAGTTTAAAAAATAAATTGTTTAAAAGTAAAATTTTTTAAATTGAAGATGGTAGTACACACCAGCCTAGCACTCTGGCAGGTTAAGATGGGAGAATCTCAAATTCAAACCCATCCTGGGCAACTTAGTGATTTAGTAAAATTCTTTCACAAAATAAAACACAGAAAAGGGGCTGGGAATGTATTACAGTGTCAAAGCCCTGGATCCAATCCCCAGTAAAACAAACAAAAGAAAATAAAATGTTTTAAAATCTTATTTTTAACTGGAAAATTTTGCTTGGCTGTCTCAAATGTTAAAATATGCAACACTTTTCCAAGAATCCTTGCAATAATCATTAGATTATAATTTCCACTATGCATAGGTTTTATTAGGTTGCATAAATAATTTGGGCTTTTATAGGCTTGCAATGGATTTAACTCTGAAAATTATTTAGGAAAATAAAAGCTGTGTTGAATTGAGCTTAACCATGAGATGAATATGACAATTACTCTATTTCAACTGCATTTGGAATTAGTATTTAAATCAAACAGTCTTTTTTCTCATTATCCAACCTTCTCTTTTCTCAAAGCATAAAAAAGTTCTGGAAAGAAAATGATTTTCAGGAGAAAGAAATGAAAAGAATGAGGAGATTTAAAAAGAGGAACAACTAAAAAGCTTCAAGAAAATGAGAAGAGAATTATAAGGCTATATTTTACTGATACATCAATACATCTTAAAATACATTGACTTAATTTATTACATAAATTCAAAATCTTAATGTAAAAGTGTCTTTTAGGGTGATCAGCCATCCTAGTTTTCCTGGGATGGTCCACATTTAGCATTTGAAAATCCTAAGTCCTGGCAGACTAAATTGGTCATTTTATTTCTAATTCATCTATACTAAAGTTGTGCTTCTTATCAATTTACCTTCAAAGCAGACTTGAGGACTGGAACATGCATACCTGAAATTTCTCTGAGCTCTGGATTTTTATGACATTTCTCTGCCACTGATTTGGGAGCCCAGCTGTGTTTTGCCACACATGCTGAAGGGGATCACCGCATCTACTTTGAAGACCTGCCGTCAACTTGCCACCCATGTGGCTTAAGAAGTAGTAAAATGTAATCTGTGAAAAATAATTAGCATCCAAACAATTACAATAGAGGAACCTCCAAATATGACAAAGTAAGATGCTGTGAGCTTTCAAATACCTGACAAGCATGGGTGTCATTAGTGGAGAGGAAAACTCTGCTCCTTAGGGCTGAGGAAGTGGAATTCGCTCTGCACACCAGAGAGAGGAAGTGGGCTGTGAGAAACAAGAAGCAGCATGTTAGGTTGGGAGTGATCACTGGCGAACTTCTTCAAGGCACCGGGGAAAATTTGGCCCACATCCACAGTAGGTCAGTGTAACTCTTTTTTAAAGAATTAAAAGTTCATCTGAGAATGGTCGCACAAATCTGTGATCTCAGGACTCTGGGAAGTTCAGGCAGGACTGAAAATTTGAACCCAGTCTGGGTAACTTAGCAAGATCCTGTCTCAAAATTAAAAAAGAAAATTAAAAAGGGCTTGGTATGTATCTCAGTGTAAAGACCCCCTGGGTCCTGTGTTCAATCCACAGTTCAAGGTGAAAAAATACAAAATTAAACCACTGTGTTTGTCTTACTAAATGACATAATAATTTTACTTCTTTATACTGCCTAGTGAAATAACTAACTGATTATACACCACTGTGGGCTACAGCCCACAACCCAATTAATTGTGTCTGACAGAGAAAACGACAACCTTGCAAAAATGAAAAAATCATTACACAGGGATTGCCTACCAAAGTAAGCACTACACTGAAGAATTCAAAGGAGATTATTATTTAATGAGCTTTTGTGTTGAAAGTTTGGGTCAAGTAGTCCCAGTGTTTCCCAGAAATGTGGAAAACAACATTGTCAAGTCCTTACATTTTCTTGCTGCAGTACAGATTATGCCAATGATTAGTACTATTGAGAATTCTGTAAAAAAAGTTGAGTGTTCCCTAGGCCTTCACAGATTTTCTGCAATGCTTTGTAAGGGTTATATGATACACTCTGGGAACCATTATAACCTGTTTCATGCATTTGAAGCATTCCTATTTATCAAAGTGAATAACAAACATGATGTTGACGATGATTATGATGGCAAGTCTGTCCAAGTTACTTGGAGGCATTTAAAAGGCTGATTGGAAATCAAATCTAATTGTCTTGTCACTGAAAGAATCAATAGTAAAACTATAAAACTTAACCTCTTCTCCCCTACTCTTATTCCAAAGCTGCACTCTAATTAATCAAAAAATAGTAGCATTAATGTGCTTATGGATACAGTCAGAGTCATGATTGAAATCACTTGTGCTAAGAATGTACTCGCTAGAACTATCCTATAAACACAATTAAATGAAGAGCTGGTTTCATGGTGACACAAGTGGACAATCATTAGTTGCTCTTATGGCAGGTAGACAAACATTAAGCAAATAAATAATCAAATAAGCGTAATGAGTCAAAGGGATATACTGCTTTGTGGTTAAAATAATATTGCTAGCAGAATAAATGGTAATAGTATTCAATAGCATTAAATTGATGTTTATAAATAATCAGTCATTAAAATCATCCATGAGATCTGTAGGAAAAAAATTACATTTGTCAAAGAAATTGCTTAAATTAATCATGTTTATTAAAAATGTTTGTTCTTGAAATCAGGTCTGATATATTGAGTTTTTAAATAATGAAGTAGCATTTGAAATAGTATTTCTCAAGTCACATAATTAAGCTGAACATTTTACAAGTATAAACTATGTTACTAGTCATACATTATTATACTGTAAACTATTCTGTATTTTGTCAACTATTAAACACAATTTAACCTTCAGGTTACAGTATAAAGCAAAGTTTTACATTTGGACACAGGTAGAGATTCTCTGACATTTGCCATAGTAATATATTTTTTTAATGGGAAAAACTTATTCAAAACATAACCAATACCAATGTCTGTTTTCTGCCTTAGTGACAATAGCAAGATTCCAACTTAGTGACAATAATAAGATTTTTTGGATTGATTTCGTTCTTAGGGTAACTCTACTTAACACTACACTCATAGTATGAGTATAGCAGTTAATTTACAAGTAGAGATGTTGCTCAGAGAGCAGTGTGACCTGACAGAAAGTTCTCTCATTTTCCAGAGGGCATTAGTCATAATTTTCATTTATAAGATAAAGAAGTAAATCTTCAGCAGCATGACTCATCTATGATTGAGAAGAGACTACATGAGCTCTTTGATAACAAAACTGTACCCAGTACTCCTTCTACACATCCTTCTTATTCCTTCATGCAGCCTACTAATACACCTACCCTACACACACATGCATCACATTATTATCATTGTCACCATTATCTACTAATCTCTACACCACAGCCATTTCAGTTTGTCTAGTTGGCTCAGAGATTCCCTTTGCGTACCTGTATCTGTAAAAGCAAACACACAAATGCAGAGCAAATCCTTAAAACAGACACTTAAAGCAATCTTAGGAAGATGAAATATAATTATTGGGGAAGCACCCAGGACTCAGCAACTAGTTTGAATGTAGGAATTCAAGTGCCTCACCCACCCCATACACCAAGGGACAGGCCACTAGGGGAACACCAGCCACATAGTAGGATTTGGCCTAAGAAGCACATGATGGACAGGCAAGACAATGAAGATTGAAAAGTCTAAAATATGAGCAAATATGTGGTAAGTTAGGTGAACTAGCATTGTGCTTAGGGACAAAGATACACAGAATAGAAACAGGCAAGTGGGACCACCTTTTTTCTTCTTTTAAAATATAATTTCATTTAATCATGTTTTATCTTTGTTTTTGTCTTCCTTTCCCTTTTTGTTTTTATTTCTTTTTGCTCATTTGTTTTCTTTTTTCTTTTTTTGGTTCCAATCCCATCCACCAAACCCAGAGACCAAGTTCAGATAATCTCTTGAATACTCCTTCATTCTTTCTTTTCTACATCCTTCACTAGTTTCCCAAACCTTGTGTGACCATCCTTTGTCCTCCAGCCTTGCTTCTAAAACAGAAGCCTTCCTTTCCAAATATCTTTATCTTACACACCATCCTGCCTACATATCCACACCACAGGGTGAATTGACTCTACTAAAGGGAAGCACTTTGCATATAAACTCCTAATTTACTATTGGTTCTTTTATATAACTATAGACTTTGCTCTGATGATCTAAAGTGAAAAATCAATTGTCACCACAGTTTTTCAGTTTCCAAATTGTGCTTGATGATATTGTTGCTGCTAATTGTACTACTGTATCTAGGATGTCATATCTGTTGTTATCAATTGTTCTCCATTCTGTAACAATATTGGGAAGCCCTAGGGTAATAACCTCACCACAGTCCTACATCAAAATGCTGGGGACTGAGCCAAACAGATCCTAATATCCCACTCTCAATTCATTGGGAAAGTAGGACCGTGGGACAGACACAAGTCAAGAATCCCTACACATAGAAGACATCCTTGAAGACAGAGTGTTTCTAGACAGGCCTTGAAACTAGTTATATGGCTACCTACTACAAAAAATCACAAGGATCATCACAGAAAACAAAATTTTAAAATGTATTGAAATAGAAAATGACAAGACAAAGAAGCAAAATGCAATCTCAGACCTCCAGCCCACCTGGAACAAGTTCAGGAGACAACAACATAAAAGAAATTAGAAGATGCACACTGAAATTGCTGAAATGATAGCAACTAAAGAAATAACTCCATGAGGCTATAGAGGAAATAAGATCAGAAATAATCTCTCAAATAACAAAACAAATGACAACCATAATGAAAGAATTGCTCAGCATATCTGAAGAAGACATAGATAAAAAATAGAGGAGCACAGGAAAATGATGGAAACTTTGAGTGAAAAAATATATGGAAGAATTAGAATGCATGAATATTCAAATAGATATCCAAGAATTAAAAATTTCATTGAAAGCTGGCAAAAGTACTTGAACAAAACTCCAGATAGACTTTCAGACTTTGAAGACAGGATTGCAGCTAGGGACCACAAAAGGAAAGTTGTCCTAAAAATAACAAGGAACCAGGAAATAGCAATTCAACAGCTGTGCAATGCAGAGAAAAACAATATAAGACTCACAGGTGTTAATTAAAAAGCAGATTTCAATATAAATGACATAAAAAGATTACTTGCAGAAGTAATAGCAGAAAAATGTCACAAGCATGGGAACAGAATCTGACATATAAATAAGTGAAGCATATAGAACTCCAAACAGCCATGACCAAAATAAATCTGCACCCAGATATATAATAATCAAGATCCCAGAGATTCAGTACAAAAAAAGAATATTAAAAGGTGTTGGAGAAAAAAAAAAAAAAAACACAACAGCTAGGCATAGTGGTGCATGCCTGTAATCCCAGCACTCAGGAGGCTGAGGCAGAAGGACCGTTGAGAGTTTGAGACCAGCCTGGACTACAAAGTGAGCTCAAGGCCAGCCTGAATTGCATAGTGAGACCCTGTCTCAAAAAACAAACAAACAAAAAACACAGATCACCTAAAAGGAAAGCCCATTGGAATCATCATCGAGTTTTCAACAAAAACCTTCAAATCAAGAAGAGTTTGGAGTGAGGTATTTCAAGCCCTGAAAGAAAACAACTTCCAGCACAAATTGATGTACCCTGCAAAATTATCTTTCAAAATTAATAGAGCAAAATATTTCCATGACAAAAAAAATTTAAGAAATTCATGACCACCAAATTAGAGCAAAATATTTCCATGACAAAAAAAATTTAAGAAATTCATGACCACCAAATTAACTAAAGAGTACTGAAAGATATTCTGGAGAGAGATAAAAATTATCCCAATTCCAAGAATAACATCAGAAAAAAGCTACCAGGCAAGGCAAGCAGATAAACAGAGTGGAAAAACTGGGAACCAACAACAGGAAAATATGACAAAGATAAGCCAATGCATAGCAGATGCAACCAACAATGTAAATGGGCTCAATTTACCAAACAAATGAAACAGATTGGCAGAAAGGATCAACAAACAAGATCCAACAATATGCTATATACAAGAAACACATTTAATTCAAAAAGAAACTCAAAGACTGAAAGTCAAAGAATGGAAAACAACAATGCAAGAGAAACCAAAAAAAAAAAAAAAAAGCAACAATAGTTATACTGATTGTGGACAATGAGAACTTCAAACCAAGAATGATCAAAAGAGATAAAGAAGGTCACTACATACCTGTTACAGCAAAACTTGAAAAG